GGTGTGTGTTATCTGGCTTCATGGACAGATAGAGCTGGGTGTCATCTGCATAGCAGTGAAAATGTATGCTATGTCTTCTGATGAGGAAGACGGGAAGCAGGAAGGGAAGCATGTATAATGTAAGCAGAACTGGTCCAAGCACTGAACCCTGTGGAACTCCATAATTAACCTCAGTGTGTGAAGATATGAGATGATTTAATAGTAAATAAATATAAATATGCTTCCTGGTCCCATCTCTGGATAGTCACGTTTTGGGGGGTTTAATAAATTTGGCCAGATTTCTACAAATCAAATGAGAGCTGATTCATCCATTCAGGGCGGATGGATGCCAGCTCTACTAACAAGACCAGGTTTCTCTCAGAAGTTTCCTAATTATCCCACACCGTTTTGTTCCCTGACTGCCAAGACTTGCCTGGAGTTACAGTTAGGGCTAGGGTCACTATCGATGATGACCCAGACCTCAGAGGGTTAACAGAGCATGAAGTCTTTTCTCCAACTGTGATACATTAAAAACAAATGGAAATGGCAAAAGAGAGAGCATTGTATTTCAGTATACTGCTAGTGATCCTGTGATCACAGGCGTAGGTACATTTCCACTGAATGGTACCGGATTATATTATTATTAATGTGCAAGAAGATTTCATCTATAGTTGTACTTCAGCTGTTATGCAACAAATCAAGAATGTTTTGAATGTGATTGTCTGCAAAGGCCTTAAGTGTTTGAATTCTCCGCACAAATCCTCACAACCTATGTTGAGTGGGTGCTAGTTTTCAGTCCCTTAGACTGTGGTCCGCTGATCTCACTTGATGAGATTAATCCGTAGTAGACACTTGTAGAGGCTTCATATCATCATCTGCTGAAGGACAACGTTCCAGATGCTTCCGTGTGGCTAACTGTTGTTAACAGCATGACTGTCAGTGTGTGTGTGTGTGTGTGTGTGTGTGTGAGTGTGGTCCTTACTCTTCCTGTCGTAGTATTTTATCCTCCACGGCTTGCAGAGCAGCAGCCAGCGAAGCGCTTGTTTCCTCCAACTTCTGGTGCACCAATGAATCCACTCCGAACTCTGTTGTCGTGGCGGCTGGCGCCGTGACCCCGCCCCCTGACATCCCGCTGTCCACTGACACCCCCCCGATGGAGGATCGTGGGGGTTTGACAGGCGGAGGGGTTGGGCTGGGAGTGGCAGGAGTCTGAGGTGTCTGTGGTGTGGTGGGTGTCTGAGGCGTGTGGGGACTCTGGGAGGAAGGGCTCGTCGGTTTGGCGTTCGGCGGGCTGGGAGTGTTAGATGGGGGGAAGGAGGGTGGTGAACTGGTCTGTCGGGCCACTGCAGAGTGCTGCTTGGGCGGGGCAGAGGCTGGGGTGGACAGTGCGGGGCCAGTTACAGAGTGGATGAGCTTGGCTGGTTTGGGCGCTGTGGGTGGTGGCGCTGGTTTGGGTGAAACTGGTGGAGGGATCTTCTTTCCTTCCACTACACAGAGAGCAAAGAGAAAGACTGGATCACTGAGCAGCTGAAATACGCTGTTTTCCTTTATAAACACTATCTAAGACTGGCTGATACGGGCCTATAACGCTGTTTGAAACCCCTCCAGTACCGATAAGCTTTGACTGACCGGGTAGCATGAAATACTCTTTACTCGTGAAAATACACTTTGTAAAATTATTTCCAGCTTGCCTTTTCATCACTGTTTTTTTGCTTCAACTTCCTGAAGGGCATTTGGAATTAATATGTACACAAAACACCCAAATCCACTGTGTTTACCTGGACTTCCAGGTGTCCCCGGACCTGGTAGGGGTACTCGTTTGTTGGATACAGGCTGCGGTGGGGTCTGAGGTCCTCCCTGTCTCTTTATCTGTGCCACTACAGGCTTTGGGGAGACTGGAGGCTTTGGTTTCCTCACAGGACCACCTTCATTTGCCACTGGAGCTCCTTGGTCCAAGCTGTCCCTGCGAGGAGCAGCAGTCACTTGTGGTTGAGTTTGAGGTTGAGGTTGCGGTTGCTCGATCACTCCAGCATCAGACACTGGGCGGCGTTTCACTGTGGCTGTGCCGTTCTGGTAGGGAACTGGCTGCGTGGTGTTTGGCTGCCCGGTGTTCGCAGGCTCCCCGTTGGCTGTGGCCAGCTCTGCGTAGCCCTCGGGCTCTTTGTCACGGCTCTTGGGTCGTCGCTTGACGGTGGATGACTCTTGAAGGGTGAAGTCAGAGCCGTTGGGGTGGGGCTTGGAACTGCGGGGTCGTCGTTTTAAGGTCGCCGTGGCTTCAGCATTGGAGATGTCCTCCTGGGCGTAGCTGCTGTCTCCCTGGTGACCCTCGCCGTCACCCTGCAGACATACACAAAATACACACTAACGGAAAATTCATACATTCATGATAAGGGGTCATTTTTGCACAGTCAAAAAACACTGACAAAGATAAATGGATAAGACAAATAAAGCTTACAGAACACAGAAGCTTGACTATGGATTTGCAATACATTAGAGCACATTAGCTTTAGCACATTACATTACATAGATAATGCAAAAGATAGATAGATAGATAGATAGATAGATAGATAGATAGATAGATAGATAGATAGATAGATAGATAGATAGATAGATAGATAGATAGATAGATAGACAGACAAACATATATATTGATAGCTACCTGTCCTTCTCCTTCTCCTCGACCTTGGCGGCGGATGGTCAGACTTCCCTCCTCTGCAAAAGGCAGATTCTCTGAAGAGCTGCCACTACCTCCTGAGCTGGGGTGGGGTGAGGATGGAGGTTGGGGTGAGGAGGAATTAACAGGAGGAGGGGAGGATTCAGGCTGGGTGGAGGGAGAGGGGAAAGTCAAAGGAGTTGGCTGGTCGCGCCTTGCAGCAGCCACAAGCTCACTGACGGGGCCGCTGATGGTTCGTCGTCGGTTTACCACCTCACCATCCAGACCAATGGCATCGCGTGTTTTCCCCACCTGTTGAACGCACAACAACCATATTTCACTTAGTTACAGCATACATATGAATAAATAAACATATATGTAGTGTTATGTTAGAGAAATGAAGTTCTGTATACATTACCTGCAAAAAGTTCTTCTGCAATGCCATGCCTTTGGCTCCTCCCCCTATAGAAGACATCTCTAACATGGCGGCAATGCTCCTCACACTGCCAACGCTGCTCGTCTCCACGGCAGCTGTCTCCACGGACACCCCCAGGTCGCTGGCCCGCCGTTGTTGGTAGTAAGGCACATCCAGCATCCCCCCAGTAGTGGTGAGCGTATTCGGCTGCGTGTTGGCATCTGTCAGGTTGGAGTTGGAGGTGGAGATGGCTGAGCTGGAGCGTTTGGGCGGTGGTGGGGGTGGGCCTTTTTTCTTCTGACGGAGAGCAAACGACTGGCTCTGGTTTCGGTTGGCGCCCTTTTCCTGATTGCGTACGGAGTGACTACGGCTGACTCGGTGAGTTACTGTGGCGTATTTCCCTCCTTCCCCTCTCACAGCGGCTGAGCTCTGGCTTACAACGTCAGCTTCTGCTTCTCCTCCACCCCCTCCTCTTCCTCCTGCTCTCTCATCGCACTCGCTATCTGAGACAGCGTATCGGTTGAGCGTGTGAGCGCGTTTATTCTGGACAGACGAGTTCTTTGGTCCTTCTTCCTCTGCTAACTCTGCCTCTGGTGGGAGACAGAGGACTGGGACTTGCTGACTCTCCCTGACCTCCATCGCCTGCATCTGTGGGTGGTGCTGAGGGTGAGGGTGAGCCTGGTGCTGCGGCGGCATTTGAGGTTGCTGCTGCTGGGGCTGAAGCTGACACGGGGCTCCGCGATGGGTTGGAGACTGAGGAGGATGTGAGCGCGGTGACTGAGGTCTTTCCCCCTGGATGAACTGTGGGGACGGCTTGGGCTTGGCCTGTGGGGAAGACGTGCTCTGCACAGATGATGTGGACGAGGAGGAAGAGGTCCTGGTCTTGGTAGGAGTGTGTGGGGGTGTGTAGGGAGGTGCAGGCTGCGAGTGAGAATGAGAGTGACGATGTTTGCCTTGTGAGGATACACTGCCTCGGTGAGAGGACGCGCTTCCCTGGCTGCTCTGCTGCCTCATAGTCCGGGCCTCCTTCTTAGGTGGCCCACCTCCACCTCCTCCTCCGCCTGTAAGCACCTCATCGTGGTCTTTGCTGAGGCTGCGTGTTCGCTGAGCTTTGACCTCCTGAACTGGCTGGGTCATTGCACTCTGTAGCTCAGTGCTCAGCTCGCTGTCCTGGAAGGTGCTCATTTTGGGAGACATGACCTCTGAAGAGAGACAAAGAGAAACTCAGATGAAGATAAATGAAATCTTATCTTTTTATCTCACAAAAGGTTTATTAAGTAAATGCTTTACCACTGTTACACAGCAGTTGCTTTCAATCTAGTAGCTTCATTATGGGCTCAGTCAACCTAACCCCCAAACTGCAAACAGCATGAGCTCTACTCAGATTTGGTCAAGTGTCAAAAATAAAGATGCTTACTAGACTTTCATTCAGGAAGATGCACTAAATACAGTCTTTAGTTGTATGAATCCACCTAGACAAGTGAAGGGAAGCTTCTGATATTTCCACAGCCATCTGTAAAGTAAGTTAGGTGTCACAGATGTCAACAGATGTACAAGATAGCCAAACCAACCAGTCTGAAAGCTGTGGTCTGATGGGGGACTTGAGATGGGCTCAAGGACTATCCACTGAGAACAAAGAAGAGTGGACCACCAGTCTATCTGACCAGCAGACAACCAAAGCAACTCTAACATGATTTATTTTTTTACTGGTTTCACAATCAAATGAAACATACAGATAATTCCAATTAAAGATGGAGTTTAAACTGTACAGGCTGAGATTTTCCTGAATGATCTCACCATCTGGGGGAGGACTATCCATCGACATGACTTCCTGCTGCTGCGTGATTGGTGGGGGCTTCTTTCGGAGGGAGCCCCGCCCATCTGAACTGCGCTGCATTTCAGCCAGCCGCTTCACCGCCAGCATTAGCTTTTTCTGGTGGCCTACAGCATTAACAAAGTGGAATTACAGTTTGGCATAACACAGGTAATACAAGTCAAATTCACTGAAAATTTGTTTGTCGTCAGTGCACTTTCCCTTAACTCCTGAACAGGAAACTAAACCTGACTAACTGAGAAAACTGTAAGGCTACAGAAGCTAGCTTATCTAAAAACGCTACAGCTAACATGGTAACACTAACCAGTTTAGCTAGTAAATGTTTTATAGATGGGGAGGCGTGGACAGAGAACTTCTAATGTAACTCAGAACTCCCACTCTTTAGATGCTGGGTGTGATATTTTCAGTTTACTATATTTTATGTAGTCCAAAAAGGTCAGTCTCGTTATAGTTTTTTGGGTTAGGGGGGTTCATAGGGGTCAAGATATTGAATAAAGCTCAGGTTTTGAGTGTAGTAAATGACCTTTCTTTGAATTTTAGGGATGCCACAGAACCGTAGAGCTACTTTAGCTTTTATTTCAGTCATGAAATGATTAGCAACAGAAAATTTCTAGCAGCAGCAATCCTCAACCGGCTTCTTTTTTACAGATATCCTGTCGTAAACCCTTCATGCACCATTCAGCACCCAGAGGCAGAGTGCTAGTATTTTGGGGGAATAGTTAGCTTCCCTGTAAGAAAATCTAAAAGACGTCTTCATAATTCATCATTAACATATACTTCATGGCTTGGGTTTGTGCTCTGACATGCACTGTCAACTGTACGACCTTATATAGACAGGTGTGAGACAAATCATGTCCAATCAACTGAATTTAGTACAGATGGAGTCCAATCAAGTTCAGCGTCTGACAGATGATCAGTGGAAGAAGGACACACCTGATCTCAATTTTGAGTGTCAACTTTTTTCACTCATTATGATGTATATGTAGAATTTTGAGATGAAAAATTAACTTAATTCATTTTGGAGTCTGTAACACGTCATTATGTGGAACAAGTGAAGCCCTGAGAATACTTTCCAAACTCTCTGCATATGCTTATATACGTATTCTGGTTTTAAGTCTGCATTTTAATCACTTCACTCATTTATTTTTGAGATTACTGGTTACTTTCATCTCTATTAAGTGCACCTAACATACATAAAGCTATGCTCAAATGTGAATGTTGGCCACATTATACACCACATGCAGAGTCTTGTGATTAGTAGGGGATACTGTAGCTTAACTTTCATGTTTCACAGTGGAAAAACAAAACAAGCACTGCATTGTTTGTTTGTCGTACCCAGTTTGGTGATGCCTATTTCCTGCAGGTCTTCCCAAGTGATGTCCGTGATGAAGTCGATGTTCTCGTAACCGTTCTGCACTAACATCTGGTGGTACTGGCTTAGACCAATAGAAGATAGCCATTCTCCTAGGCTAGCCTGTAAGAATGCCAGAAATAAGAGCGCTGAGCAGGCAGTAGCTTGTAGCTTCCCATGGTAGCTCAGAATATTAGCCCACAGGACACTTCGTGTCATGATCAACCAATCAAAGTTTTGGCATAGCAATGACATACAAGCATCTATTTGACTGGTTTAAAAAGTCTGTGTGTGTGTGTACTCACAGGTTTATGCTCAGGCAGCCACTCTGTAACACTTAGCTTGTTAATCTCTGATGTTATCTTCTTTCTGTGACCTGGTTTAGTTATTCCAATAGCGGTCAGATCCTACACACACACAAACATGTAAGTAAGAAGCTGTAAGTATATGTTCAGCCATTTTTATTCCACAAAGTACAAGAAAATCTCCCCAAGTGCCCATCACTCTCTGTCGTTCTCTCTCTGTCTTCCACACACACACACTCAGAAGAAAATTTGCAACACAAGAGATGGCGTGATATCTGATGAAGGCTTCTGTCGGCTAAAGGGAGAAGAGCACGGATGTGTCAAACCCATAAGAAAAGCATGGCAAACAAAAGCAAATGTCTGCAGTGAAAGGAGGCGGCCAAAATTAAAAAAACAGGCTGAATCTGGTACGCAGACATGACCGCACTTTGATATAAAGAAGACAGAAATATCACAGAGCGCTGCACGGCACAAGTGCTACATTTGACTTCAGTGCAACTCACTGGAAGTTGTTAGGACACCCGAGAACACACTTTTATACAACAGCCGCCACATACACTTGGCTGCATAAATCATTTTGTGGGACGAACCAGGAGACGAGGCCTCCGCTCAGTGACACATCTCTGATGAGAAAAGCCCTTTAAGCCATCGCTAATCTGAGTCCCTTCAGCATGCACAAAGTGTGCATATATACACAAGTAATTTATGAATGCTATAAATTATTTGTTTTTAAGTGTGGCAGGGCCAGGATTGTTCCTCAAAGCTAGCAGCAGCAGGAGCAGTGTTGGAGGGGAGGTGAAGGGTCACAAAGTCGAACAGAAGTTCACTGAGTTGGTTTTTGAATGTGTTAAATTTCTCTGCGTTCAACCGGCAGCTTAAAATGGAAACAACAAACACGTAAAAATACTATAGGTATCATCACAGGAGGATTTTTGTCTTTTATGGACTTTGTTTTAAGATCTTGATGCTAACATTTAAACCAGAGCTTATTTTTAATTCATATTTAGGCAGAATTCTGAAGACAATATTTAAACACAAAAACATCAAATAATAATTTCCCCATACTGCAACTCTTTATTTGACATTCTCTTCTGAGTAAATAGGAACTACTTTTAAAGGTCCACACATCAAGTACGACACACAACTTGCATTAAGTGACCACTAGGGTGTACCAAGAGCCACAGTACGCAGTAACATACAGTCGTCTTGTACTGGTTATTTTCTGTTTAACATTTTGCAAAAAATAGGGATACAAACAGCAAGATGACTCGTGTCTCATTATCTTCATGGCCATTTTATGACCTTTCTTCAGACTTGAGCCGATGGCAAAGGTTTTAATACTGTGGGGCTGGTGAGAGCCCAGAGACTCAACAGTACGCGAAGGGGTTCACACATTTAAACCTTTTCTGGAGTCAGAGGGGGAAGGCAATACATGATCAAGGGGGGAGGAAAGTGAACGTAGGCAGGTGAGGCACGAGGCAGGAAAAGGCAGGTGGTTGGTTGAGTGGTTTAATTGTGCTCACTTGCGATTTTGTTTTGTAAAATAAATTATTTACATGCATATTGAAAACATCAAGGACAACACAAATCAAAGTCGTGCAGACTTGTTCTCATTGTGGTCCTTGGAGGTGCCTGCGACCTCTCTGGGAGTCAGGGTCAGGGTTTAGTTGCCTTACCTCCGGGGTCATTCGGCTAATGGTGGGCAAGTCATACCCAGCGCCCAGGAAGTTTGGAGCGTAGACCTGCAGCTGAAAGTCGCTCAGCCATTGGACAACGGCCTCTGAGCTCTACGGGAGAGAAGACAGGGGGCATGCGGTCACTGGCTCCATGTGTTTCTTCGACAGCCATTTTTTTTTCTCAGCAGGGCCAAGTAGGGCAAAAGAGGGGCTACATTTTAATGACCATGTCTTGTCATCTTTAGGGTGGTCCTAAGCTAATTCTTACACATTAATGGATGATTCAGCGGTATTATAAGCTGGCTGGCAACTGAAATAGCCCTGGACAGCCTCCCTTGGTCCTGCAGTGAAAACCAGGCTAAGGTTAGGAAGGGAAAACGTCCAGTCGACAGAATCTCAGCTACTACAGGAGGTCAGATTAGCAACAACAGGCTAATCTGTATCTTACACTTTACAGCTGGAAAGCAGAGAAAACACATAGTGTCTACTGTTTGTTTTGCACAGTGCTGCAAAAAAGGCAACGCCAGAAAATGCTGCTCTTAATTAGAAGCATGCACATTCGCTTTTGCACACTTCCCCTTTTCAGATACTTTCACACTTCTAACCCCGATTTTCTTACTGATTGCATGTTAACTCAAAACCTTAAAAATTCACATTATAAGTTCAGCTTTCTGTCCATGTTTTATCTCTGATTGGCGTCTGTTAGACTGGCAGATGTTAGCTAACCAGGATGTGACATGAAAAGTGGGAAGCCACTGAGGTCTGGAAATCTGGGATGTAGCTTAGCATGCTAAACAACAGTCAGACTAGCAAATATTTCCCTCCTGTTTTACAGTCCAACAATACCACAGGGTCAAAGACAGGCCTCTTACTGTTAAACGTAACTTTAAGCTAATCTTTGACTTCTTACGATTGCTACTGGAGTAAGCAAGTGTTATTGCTTTTGAAATAACTAAAAAAAATTCCAGGCGATTTTGATACTTTATACAGATTTTAAGAAACCAATTAGTTAGTGGCTTTAAAGAACTTCATTAAGTTTGATTAAATGTGTAGCAATGAAAGTTGGACAATGTGGGACAGGTTATCAATGCTGTTGTGTGGTGTGAATATTCCAGGTGATTTGATATTGATCATGTAGGACAACTACAGGATACAGTTTTCTGCCTCGATAAGTCCAACATTCAGAAATGAAAAGTTTGTTTATATGGTGTTATGATATGTCTGCCCTCTATCTGTCCTATTCCTCACGAGGCTCATGTGTTGGCTTTTATAAACTGGACCCAATCAAGACTGAACACCGTATCAATATATGGGGTGAGCGTCGAAGGAATAAAAATGCTGTGCAGTCCCAGGTAAATTTGTTGCTTGGTGACCTTCATTATGACCCAGACCTTTATTATGATGGAGTATGGTTAAAGTAGTGTCCTGCTGTGTGACAGCAGATGGAAAAGCAATCGGCCTAACTGGAAAACCACTGCTTGACTTCTTCCCACTCACACGCTGCTTTTCTTTAAACTCCCACATCCCTCCTGTCACTCTTGTTTTTCTCCATTCTTTCAGGCTCTTTCTCTCTTTCCCCGTGTCCCTCCTGCTTCCTCAAAGTCCCTCAAGAACCACCGGCATTCTTCCCATCGTTCTTCCCATCGTTCTTCCACGTTACCCGTCTGGGGAAGTATTGTGAAGCTGGGTGCAGAGGAATCGGGACTCTAGCTAACAGATGGTCAGTAGAACATGGCTTACATGCTAGTGTGTGCACACATATACTGCAGGAAAGCGATGCACACTACCACCATGACCACCTGCTACTTAAATATGCTCACTGTTTTGTTTTTGGTTTTGTTTTGAACATGAAACGATTGTACAATGACACGTGAAGTCAAACACATGGGCAAACATGCACACATACACTGTACAGTAAATGACAATTTATTGCACATGGTGCAAGCTCAGATTTCACACTTTTAGTGCTAAGTCCACCCACGTTATGCACACTGCTGGGCCCCTGCCAGCACACACACACAACACACACCCGCCAATATCTAACTAGGATGTCCTTCCCTCAGGTGCACTATCAGATGTTTTTCCAGCAAAGTACGGTAAGAAAAATACAGCAATGGAAGAAGAGAAGCTGCAACTAAAAGGGGCGAATAACAATGGCCAGCAGGTAAAAGATAACAGAAATGCAGGATTTTCTCACACGCACACACGATTCCTCGTTCACGTTCATACAGGATCCACTCTCACACTCACCGTGTCGTGGCTGCATCCGAAAACTCGCAGCACGGACGAAGCCAGCTGCGAGAGAAACCGATGGGACATCCTGGTGTGTGTGTGTGTGTGTGTGTGTGTGTGTGTGTGTGTGTGTGTGTGTGTGTGTGTACAAGTGTGAGAGCGAGTGTTGTGGTTGTGGTGACTGAGAAGCTACGTTCTTATCATCCTGCAGTTAGATGCTGATGGTGGCGACTGCCTGTATGTGTTTGCATGAAAGGCGGAATCTGTAGGGATTTGGGACTGTCCTACCTTCCCCTCACATGGACCCTCCCCCTTCCTGGTTGCCGTGGCATCATAAGGCGGCGCTTCGTGGAGTGGACAGCCTGATTGGCTCGACGTCCGAGAGGAGCTGGCAGAGCCTGTGAGGAGAAATATTGTTGGCCAGTCACAAATTGCCGTCCTATGCTTGCATACTTGGATCGATCAACAGGTGAGTTTATCGCTTGCTATCTGACCTCGAATCTCCTCCTGTAACTGCCTTGCGATCGGTCGTCTTCATTGTTTTGATGCTCAACCAACAGAATTCCTGGTTCCCAACATACAGCAAACCTTTTTTTAACCAATCACACCCTTCTACACTCCCTCCTACATCCCCTGCCTTGGCCATCTGTCTACCAAACAAGCCAAGATCTTTTTGTGTGTGAAAGCAAATGATGACATTTTCTAAAAGACCTGTGGATTAAGACTCATCCCACTCTCTTGCTCCCTGGTTCTGCTCTTCTCCTCTTTATTAGAAAGCATTGGCTCTTCTTTCTCTCACCAGCTTCCTGCTTCGGTTTGTGTTATCAAATATTACAGTATGCCTAAAATACTTGGCGGTGAGATTAGTAATAAGCAACAAGAGGAAACGGAGAAAGCCTTCTTTCTTTTCTGGTCACCTGCCTGGCCTACCTGGAGGCTGATCCACAGACTTGGATTGCTCCATCAGATGCTCCTTCGCTTTGGCAGACTGAGACAAGACGGTGGCTAAAAGCTGGAAAAAACAAGTCCACACAAACACAGCACATTTATGAGACCACACTTTCATACACAGGAGCACCAACTTCTAACGACTTTCTTTTTACTGCCCTGACGTGGCATTCATTTTTTTCCAACATGCTGACAATACAGCATATTTTCATCTCGATGCATGCTCAATCATCCCAAAGGTTGATTCTGTTCATCTGGACGTTTTCAGAGGGAGAAATGTTTCGTCACTCATCCAAGTCTTCAGTCTCAGCTGACTGCAGGTTTGCCCAGTCTTAGGCTACGTCCACACTAATACGTTTTCGTTTGAAAACGCATCTTTTTCTCTCAGTTTTGGCCTCCCGTCCACAGTGAGACGGCGTTTTCGTTCAAGGATAACGCAGCATTTTGAAAACGCTCTCCAAAGCGGATACATTTGAAAACGCCGTTTTCGCGTCGCAGTGTGGACAGCGAACCCGGAGCCTTTTCGAAAACGATGACACATTTTAGTCACGTGATGCAGTCATGTGACCAATTAAACTAAGATAGCGGAGGGCATTATGCAGCTCTGAAGTTTGACAGCCCTATTAAAGATTAGTAACAGTTTGTACATGATTCAGAGAGCTTTTCTTTAAATTCTTTCATTCTCACTCGCTTTTGCAACTTTGTAATTTGTGTTACTCGCAGACTCGCAACTCCACCTCATTGTTAGTCCATTTAAAAAAAGCTTTTCCTCGACAGTTTGCCGCGACGTTTCAAAAAGCCGGAAAGTAAATAAGCAGCAGACAGAAATGAGGCAGGTTGAATCTTCTTGCGTTTCACGCATGCGCAGGACTGGAACGCAAGTGTTTTCAGTCGTTTCAATGTGGACGCACAACTCTGTGAAAACGTCTGAAAACGTTAGCGTGGACACGGAGCGTTTTCAGATGAAAACGTGTAAATAGACTGCAGCGTCGACGAGGTAGCTCTTCTGTGTTGTGCCATCCGCTTCGCCAGAGGTTGTTTGGTTTCCCCGATGTATAAATCCTGCCAATCCTCCTGCACTTAACAGCGTACACTATGTTACTCTGTTTGTGTCGGGGGACCCGATCCTTGGGTTGGACCAGTTTTTGGCGCAGCGTGTTTTGGGGTTCAAAAGCCACAGAGACCCGGTGTTTAGAAAAAATGCGTCTCAACTGCTCCGATACTCCTGACACGTACGGGATCACTACGGGTTTTCGCTTGGGCAGCGGTTGTCCTTCCCTCCTGGATCAGCTGGAGCTTTCTTTAGGTGATTGGGGAAACCTGGAGTCAGCTGAGACTGAAGACTTGGATGAATGACGAAACATTTCTCCCTCTGAAAACGCTACGTCCACATGAACAAAAGTGCAATAGGGCAAGAATAACTTCATTGCCACACTTCATCTGCCTGTTTGGCTGTTTTCCCACAGACGTCTGTTGGACTGGATGTCTTTTTGTGACCATAGCTATCGCCATCTGGTGGCCTTTCGGTAGAAAGTTTAAGACACTTAATTGGCTTCAGTTTTCCAACATAGAAGCTGCAGCCAAGTTTTAATTTTGTCTACCAGCCATGACCCAGTTAGCCTTGGCCCGCTGATATTAGCTACTTAAGCTACATATCATTTAGCTAACATTACCGTATCAATACGTTGAGCTAGGAGTTGCGTAGTAGTTGCGTAGTAGTCCCTTCGATTAACTACTGCTAACTTTCTGATAACCTTAACCCCCTTCTGTCGAACACCTTGCTCCTCTGTACACTTAGCAAACCACAGTGTACGATCTCAAACATGGCACTCTTCATTAGCAAAACTTTGCCGTCAGAATTAGCATCATATAGAAAGTAAAGACTATAAATTAGAAAACTGTGCATATCTTGCCACAGCTTGCATGGATACATAGTTGGTCAAACCAGTTTTTTAATGTTCTAATGAAAGACATGTTCAGATCAAGCGAAAGGTAATAACATTTCACATTATCATATATTCTTTGTTCCAAACATACTAAAGTTGATGCATCGCGGTAAGAAATCCTTCATTTTTAAGCTCTTAAGATAACTATTTGGTGAAAACATTTTTTTGTCATGAACCACACAGCTGGAAACGTGGTGGAAAATTCAGTCAGAGCTTCTTTTCTTTTTTATTATAGATATAAAACCATGTGTTGGCTTCCCTGTGCCAACACGGAGGCCAAATTGAATTTATCTGAGGCACATTAAAACATAACAATGGCAGGAGTATGGAAAGGTTATATATAAAGGCAGGGAATAAACTCACTACTGTTACAATAGTCACCACAGGCTACACATTACACCAGAACAAATGAGGCTGTAGCAGCAAAACTAAAGTACAAGTGAGTATATTTCAGGAATAATGAATTCTACTTTTCATTTGTTAAAGAAAAATGTGGTATCGCTTCTAATAAATGTTACTCCACAGGTCATCAATCCTGGATAAAACATGCTTTTAAAGGGTTTGGTTTCCTGAAATCATGATATCTGATGATAAGTGTCCATTTCATGCTCATATACTCATTCTAAATTATCTACTGTTGCCTTCAGGGGACAGTCACACCTTTGCTGAATATCATATCCTCAGTGAGAAAAAAGTCAGTTGCTTGGGTGCTGTTTCTGCCTTTTATAGATTCAGTACCTACTTCATCTCAGTTAGAATTGATCTCTGGAGAAAAGGCTGTCTTTTGGGAAAAAAACCCTGACATGATGTATGCCGACTGCCACCGCATTAATCACAGTAAAACATCCTCCTGAAACCTGCAGCACTGCAAAAAAAATTGGACTCCCAACGAAAGAGAAACGAGATGCAGAACAGAGGCTTTCACCGAGTCTGAGCTACACAAATCTGCTGTGTGGTTCCATTACTGTAGTACGTTCAAATAACTGACATCCATCTGCATAATCTTTTTATGAGAGAAAAATGTGGGATATAATGTCCATGTGGCATATCTCTGTGCCACTACTTCAATCTTTAACGTCGTGGTATACTTTACTATCAGATGTTTTTTTAATGTTACATCTTATCTATAACAAATAGGAAAATATTAAAAAGAATAATGCATAAAGGCATAGCATAAAAAAGTCAAAGTACAGTTATCCACTCATCTGTTTGCCTACAAACTATTTACATGTGACGTCCTGAACTGTAGCTTCAAACAACAGCCCTGTACCTTCATTTTAAAGACAAGAAGAAATAAAAATGACTTTGATGTTGTCCACTCATTGGTAAGACTTGAAATAAACATTCATAAGGAACAAAGGTTATATCTTCTATTCAATTCAATTCAATTCTATTTATGTAGCGCCAAATCACAACAAACGTCACCTCACGGCGTTTTATAATGTACAGTAGATACAATATAATAGATCTTCTAAAAGCAGGATTAGTATCATCATGTAAGCCTTCATCAGTGATGATGCACATGGTGGTAGAGCCAATCCCTGAAGCGTTTGCTGCAGGTTTCCTAGTGTTTCCTAGTATTTTATACAACAGTCACACTAGGATAAACTGTGGTTCGAGACCATGGCACAGAAAAATCACTGGAACCAGTGAACTTGAGATGTTGTTGTATTTGAAACAACATCGCTCTGAAGATGTGGAGCAGGTCTGCAACCACACAGTCAGTTACTGTGAAGTGACTCTGGTTCATCAAGATGGCGATAAAACAGCAATTAGGTGAAGTCAGTCTGCTTTCAGTGTAAAACTGGTGTCAAGTTTGGATGGTGCAGGGTGGTGGTATCTACAAAATGAGATGCTTTTATATAGCAATATAACCAGAAAACAACCAGCTGCAAACCAGGTTTAGACTCAGATTGATGAAAGGTGTTGGCAAAATGTTATTCCTTTACAAAGGTTTGCAAACCTTTGGAGTACCTGGAAGTGAAGCCCGTTCTTACTCCCGACTAGAGATGGACCGATCCGATATTACGTATCGGTATCGGTCCGATACTGACCTAAATTACTGGATCGGATATCGGAGAAAAATAAAAAATGTAATCCGATCCATTAAATATCACGAAAGCACCTCACAAAACTTGCAACACGCCGTAACTCACCTCAGAACGTTAGCACGTCGGAGCAGTATGCATCACGTGATAGAGCGGCTGTGGCATGCGGGACCTGTCGGTGGTCTGGATAGCATGTGGAGCTTCGCTAGCAACCCGGCATTTCATCTCCGACAAAGTTATCCCCGAGAGAAGTAAAGCAAGTGTGTAAGTCCATCTCTGAATGTTTGTAAAGCATTCCTGCGTTAAGCTTAACAAGCGACTGCCTCTTCTGCTGCTACTTCAATCATGAAACTGCTTAACGATCAGCTGATCGGCTTTTCTGTCGCGAGTCCGTGTCTCTGTTTGCTTTTGGCCCACTTTGCACCAGAAAGAGGAAACCAGCGGCTGAACAACAGCAGCACGTTTAAGCTTGATCAGCTGTTGTTAGAATGTATTTAATATTACTTTCTACACCAGGATCTTTTTCTACGTAGCTGACGCTGGTAACTGTGCAGGGGCGGATCTAGCAAAGTTTAGCCAGGGGGGCCGATAGGGCATTAACAGGGAAAAGGGGGCACAAAGACATACTTTTCTTTCTTATTCTCATTTAAAATGTCGTAGCTTTTAATAAATAATTATCTGACACCCAAAGTTTTAATTTGATGTAAAATGAATAGAAGTCAATTACTGTATATAGTAACTATTAAGTCTAATATATATACCCTAGTAAGCTATAGTACTTTTTCCTTTGGGAAGGTACCATCTGTGCAGTCTGCAATTTTGTTGAAGAAAGATGTTGAATCTATTTAATATTTCTTGAAAAATAATTGATTTCTGTGCATTTTTTTTCACACTGCATCAAATTAAGGTTGATTACGTCGATTAAGCATCATGAGGTGGAGCGTGAGGGGTGGTTCCCTATTTTTTATTTATTTATTTTTGTTGTTGCTGGGAGTTGGAACCCTATTAGTTAGGTTGCTTAATATTTACGCTAAGTACTCTTTAAAATACCAGAATAGGGAGGATGGTGTAGGTTTAAGTTTATTAGATTGATCAGTATTGCTGAACTATGAAATATTTTTTTTTGCATACAGGTATAACAGAATAGCTTTAGTGTAGTTGTTGTTTTAAACTTGAGTATGAACTTATACAAAATGCAGCAAGATATTTAAAAAACAGTTTTGTTGATTAAAAAACACTATATCGGATTCATATCGGTATCGGCAGATATCCAAATTTATGATATCGGTATCGGTATCGGACATAAAAAAGTGGTATCGTGCCATCTCTACTCCCGACGCGTAATATACTGACGATTTCTCACATCCCGAGGCGTTCCATTGGAAAGGTGACCACCCACGCTCCTATGCTACGCGCCGGATTGAGCATGAAATCGAATAGGATGACGCTCCTGCGGTAACACACGTTCCAGCCATGTATTCCAGCCCTGACCCTAATCTTATCTCTAATCCCAACCATAACCTTACCTTAACCTTAGTTAGTGTTTTCCAAAGCGATTTAAGTAAAATAAACGTGCATGTGTAGATTGATTCCAAACAGTTCTCGTGTTTCCTCATTTTTCCAAACTCGTAATATAGGAACGTGTTGGGTGGCGTAATATACGTGTAAGTGCAATCAGTTGGACTGCAGCTATTTGGAGACACATTTCCCAGGCGACCTGAACAATGAAAGTACTGGGCAGGACTTGAGAGATTTGCAGCCACCAACTAATTGCTGTAAGTACAATGCAATCACGAAGCAAGTGCAGATTTTTCCCAGTTGCAGAGGCCGCAGTTTTAACTTTAGTGTGACTGAACCATTATTAGCCCCGTTGCCTTAGCACAAAGGAAACCCACATGAATGAAAGTCTCGAAACTTGCTAGCATTACCTAATAACTTAGCACTCTACTAACTTTGAACTTAAAACCTAAACTATAGTCAAAACCAATGGATATTGTCACACTGGCTACATTATACTTTTATAAAATTGTTTTTTTAAATTAAATAAACACAAGCCCCCAAAGCCTGTTCAGTTGTCATTTTTGACCTCCAGTAGCCAAGTAACCAGTCATGAGATGCTACAATTTATTGCACAGCCCCAAATATTTCAATTTCAGCTTTTAACTCCCAGCTTGTTACGTTTTACAAACTACGGCTGCGTTCACTCTGCAGGTCTTGATGCTCAACTCCGATTATTTGATCAAATCCGATTTTTTTGTCTGCTCGTTCACACTACAAATAAAATGCGACAGCAAACGCGCTCCAGTGTGAACGCTCAAAGCGGCCGCATGCGCAAAAGAAGACGTCACACACAACGCGCTCTGTTTAGACCCAGAGCAAACTATTGTCTGACTGATGGCCTTAATATAAAGACTTCGGACTTTACGTTTCCTAATTTTACTTTAAGTTATAAAGTTATTTTGTTATTTACATAATAATGTAGATAACCTAATAATGATCATTGTTGCTGCTTCAAAGGACAGCTGCAGGTTTCTGGAATCTTATTATGCGGTTTTTTTTTTATTTTTTTTTTTTTATTTTTTTTTTTTTTTTTTTTTTTTTTTTTAATCAACAAAACTGTTTTTTAAATATCTTGCTGCATTTTGTATAAGTTCATACTCAAGTTTAAAACAACAACTACACTAAAGCTATTCTGTTATACCTGTATGCAAAAAAAAAAATTTCATAGTTCAGCAATACTGATCAATCTAATAAACTTAGACCTACACCATCCTCCCTATTCTGGTATTTTAAAGAGTACTTAGCGTAAATATTAAGCAACCTAACTAATAGGGTTCCAACTCCCAGCAACAACAAAAATAAATAAATAAAAAATAGGGAACCACCCCTCACGCTCCACCTCATGATGCTTAATCGACGTAATCAACCTTAATTTGATGCAGTGTGAAAAAAAATGCACAGAAATCAATTATTTTTCAAGAAATATTAAATAGATTCAACATCTTTCTTCAACAAAATTGCAGACTGCACAGATGGTACCTTCCCAAAGGAAAAAGTACTATAGCTTACTAGGGTATATATATTAGACTTAATAGTCACTATATACAGTAATTGACTTCTATTCATTTTACATCAAATTAAAACTTTGGGTGTCAGATAATTATTTATTAAAAGCTCGACATTTTAAATGAGAATAAGAAAGAAAAGTATGTCTTTGTGCCCCCTTTTCCCTGTTAATGCCAGGGGGGGGGGGGGGTGGGGGGGGGGGGGGGGTCGCCAAGAGGAAGGAAAAATTCGGGCGTGCAGATTATAGCGAGGTGACAAATAAAGATGTTCACGTTTCTCCAGACGCGTGTCTTCCCAGGAGCGATCCTAGCGGGCTTGGATGGAGCAGGGAAGCGTGGTCGGGAGTGAGGTCTGCCGGGCGGCTGATGAGTTTGGCGGGCGTGGTGCGTGCGTGGTCAGTGATGTAGGAGAGCGAGTGTGAGAGTGGCGACATGGACGAGTGGGAAAGGCAAGGGCGGAGTGCGCGTTTTCTAAAGCATGCGGGGATGGAGGGTGGTGGGTCGAGCGGAGCGAACGAAGCGAGTACGAAGAGTGACCGCAGATGGAGGGGGTGTGAAAAGGTGAGTCGGGAGTTTGTGGCCGGTTCACGGGGGGGCGGTGTCGACCGGGGAGTGGATGGGGGGGAGGTAGGATGGTGCGAACAGGTGCAGGAAGAGGTCGGGATTGTGGATGGTGCTTTCGCGCCTGGGCGAGGTGTGAAGAGCGGCGTGAGGAGGCACCATTTCATGAGAGTAGCGCTCAGAAAGAGTTGGTCACTACTTGTTTAGAGAGTAAGTGCGCGTGAGATTGGGTGTATGGTGGCAGGGTGTGTGGTGTGTGGTTGGTGGTGGTGTGTGGGTTGGGGTGGGGGTGTGGGGGTGGTGGGTGGGGTGGGTGTTTGTTCGGGTCGTGTGCCGCCTGCTGTGCTAGAATGCTTATTTGGGGCCTAGGATTTAACTCCCTCAGGCCCTCGTCGTGAGACTGTGTGGTTCTAGAATGCTGCCCAGCAGCGACTCATGCCCTTGCCCTGGTTGGACTACAGTCGGTGTGTGTTACACGCATAAGGCGGAATATCTACGTACAGAACTGACTGGCGGCTCATCCAACCTGAGAATCGAACCAATCACACACACAGCGACATTTACAACAGACGACATACACATACATTCACACACGCATGCAACCGCCCAAACAACACGTATAGATTTTGTTCATACGAATGCAAACATGCAACAAGATGGATGCATACAGTCACACACAGACACACACACACAAACACACGCATTGAGTGGTTTAGCTGATATCCAAAGCAGTGTGGTAAGAGGTGTGACTCTCCATTGAAATGCACTGGGCAGCATGTGGTTGGATGCACAGGACGGACAGACAGGGTGACGGACGACTGAGTGACGAACAGAAAAGTGGAATAAAGACACTTTCATACATGTTGCACACACACACGTGCGCGCACACACCATCTTTTCTCTTGGGTTTTCTCTCAGATTTTTTAGCTTTCTTGATGTCCCCACACAAGCAGTTGGAAAGACACGCACGCACAAAGACTGTAGACCGATGCAGATGGCTGCAGTCCTACACATAAGGCCGCTGACTTCAGCTAAGCTTCGGATGGAAGGATAAGCAGGAGATGGGAGACTGTCAGGAGCAGGTCAAAGAGTACCTGAAAGCCTTCAAACCACATCATCTTGTGGTTCAAACAAACAGATGAGTGGTTTCTGTCTTCCAGACATTTGTACTACTGTAGGCACTTAGAAATGGCAGCGCTGGGTATGAAAAGTTTTTCTGAATGGCGTCAGATACTGTTTGACCCCTGGTCAGACCTTCAGGTTTCAGGGATTGAGGGCTCAGCGCAGCGCGGCTTAGTTACCTGCCACAGGCTTGCGCAGTACCCAGATCTCTTCATTGGAGCCTCCATGGGGCCCGCTGGACGGGGTAGGAGAACTTTGAGGACTTGCCTCTGAGCCGCGACAACCTTCAACACAGAATACCACTGTTAGCCGCTAACTGACTCTAAAGTGACCGAGGAAACTGGTGTTGTTCTGCCACTTAACGCAGTAATAGTTCATTTTTCTGTGGAACAGAACTATAGCAATCAGCACTGTGCTTATTTATGCAGCCATGCATTACACTCTTATTTTATAAAAACACTAATAATTGTCTATTTTGCTGCTAAATGTTCCCATTTCATAGGCAGCTGCTAACACCATGTGTCATGAGTCAACGTATGGTAGCTTTGTATTCAATTACAAGGTCCACAGAACAAGTGGGACTAGCGGTAACTGTCCACATGTTCACCACTATAAGTACCAGCTCACTTTAATGTCAGATCAAAATCCTTACAGGCTTTATATACTATAATAAATATATCCTTGGGTGCTAGTATAGCTAACCAGGTTATGTGTCATAAGACTAACAGATTAACAATAATACTGCAGGGCTTACGTCTGCTCTTTCTTTTTATATGTTTGTGATATTTAGCATTCAAATTTGACCTCAGAGTGGATTTAATATGAGGTTAGCACACAGGTCTGCCCTTAATACTGCAGCTATCAATACTACGTATGTGTACTGTACTATGTAACAAGTTCATATGATATATATTTATATATATTATATGTATAAGTTTGTATAAAATACATGAGATTATATCTGCTCCTTAAATATACTTTAAACCAAGTGCAGGCCGTGGTAACGGCTGACGTTTGCAGATTACTGAGGTTCCCAGATTAGGCTTAACGCCTCTCAGTGGCCTCACATTTTCTCATGTTAGTCCTAAATCGCTTCAGACGACAGCATCTTGAATCACAACCTGCCTTGATCCATAAAAAAAGTTGCAATGGATAAATTTACACTGTCGTCTGGAGTATGTTCATATTCATATTCGTCCTATTCTCAGAACAGCAAGGATAAAGTGGAGTTAATTAAATTAACTCTAAAGTAATTCTTGAAAAAGACAGGAAGTAAGTCCAGTAGGAGAGAGGAGCAATAAAGGAAAGGTTTCAAACTCACACACATTCTCTCTCTCTCACACACAGAAAAAAACACAGCATATATATATAGATATATGAAAACATTTATATACCAATAGTACATAAATAAATCCATAACATGAAAATCTGTGTATATACACATATATGCCATAATGTACATACACATACATATATAATGCATCCAAAAATATGTGATTATATATGTTGGGCTTTTCAGAATGGGGCTGCTGTAGTGCATTTGGAGAGTATTATAAATAAACCATTATAACCATCTTAATAAGGGCTGGATAATGGTTTACATGTGTGACCAACAGTGCTGCAGAGAAACTGAGCTGCGATGCTCCTTGTGGACATTTTGCATCCCTCAGAGTGACCTTGGGAACGTTATTGACCAGTCTGTTTCCACATCCTTTCATAGAGCCCGATATTCCAGCTGCTTGTGAAATGTGCCGTCTTTGAACCATCGAGGCTCAGAGAAAACATGCTGAGCTGACATAGTTGTGATGAAGAAAGGAAGGACTCGTTTTCCTCGAGGTAACAGAATGGTCTCCCATTCACAGAGCCGTTTACAATCAGTGAAAAACTTACCTGCACAGCACTGACGGGGACATTTTCTAGCAATGTATTTGGGTCTTTTATGCAACACTTGACATTTTATACCTTGTAAGTTGCCAACTTTTACATAGTCTTTTTTTCTCCCCCCTAATATCTCATGTTCAACAATCAAAGAAGATAAAATTTGTATTATTCAGGAAGCAGTTTCTCACTGAATAGCTAGAAAATGTCCCCGTTTGGTAAAGAGAAACACCAAAAGTATTACAAACACAAAGCTGTCAAACTAAAACTCCTCCCAATATGAAAAGAAAAACACCTTTACTGCATGTTTCTTTCAATCATAACAATTTCTGACTCTCCAAACCCTTCAACACATGTACAGACCTAAGAGTTTATTGAAGTAATTCACCAGCTCACTCACACACAAACACACACTCACATCCAGTGAGGGTAAGTGAACAAGGTGGGTAAAAGTGATGCTAAAATGAACAGACGTGAAACGGCACGCAGGACGAGGACAGAACAGAAAACACTCTGGCTTGTTCGGGAGAGGGCTTCGAGTGGAGCGTGTCGGGATAAGGAGCAGGGCTGCCCTGGTGGCTGGGACGATGGTGAAATTCAGGGAAGGAGGGAAGAACAAAAGGAAACGGAAACGGGGGGAAAAGAACTGTAAAAACCAAAAACTACAAATCAAGACAACTAAAGCACAAACCAACTCAGGAGAACAGAGGTTTGTCACAAAATGAGAAGCCTACCCAGCCTATTTGACACCTAACTTCTCTTATTAGCAAAGACGCTGAAAGCATTTTTTAAAAATGTGGCGCTGCTGTTCAGTTGCACCACTTTAACAGCATCGACTGCTTGTCTGTCTTCTGCTCGTCTGTTGGGCTGTTTTTACTGAAAAGGTCTGAATACAACCAAATAACATAAAATAGTTTTCTGATTAATTCTGCAAAATGAATCAGTAATTTAAGCCTAACTCTAACCCTACGCACTGAGAGTACGTCATGTCTGATTGTTCTTTTAAGTCCTGGCATTTCAAGGGATGAAGATAACAGTCCTTCTAACTGACACATATTTACATCAGTCCCATCAATGACTGTTTTGCCTAAATATAGGGTCAACCTCAGAGTTCTTGCCCCAAGTGGAGGAGTTTAAGTATCTCTGGGTTTTGTTCATGTGTGACGGGAGAAAGGAGCGGGAGATCGACAGATGGATGTGGATGCTGTAGCTGTCTGTGGTGGTGAAGAGAGAGCTGAGTGTAAAAGCAAAGCAATTTACCGGCTGATCTACGTCTCTACCCTCACCTATGGCCACGAGCTGTGGGTAGTGACCGAAAGAACGAGACTGCAGATACAAGCGGCAGAAATGGGCTTCCCCTGAAGGGTGGCTGGCCTCTCCCTTAGAGATAGGGTGAGAGGTTTGGCCATCCGGGAGGGGCTCAGAGTAGAGCCGCTGCTCCTCCACATCGAAAGGAGCCAGCTGAGGTGGTTCGGGCATCTGACAAGGATGCCTCCTGGGCGCCTCCTGGGTGAGGTGTTCCAGGCATGTCCCATCAGGAGGAGGCAGACCCAGGAGGCGCTCTGGTTACCAGCAAGTTGTCTTGGTTAGGCTATTTTTTGTTTAGCCAAACGTTACATTGGCAACCTTTCAGAAACTAGAAGCTGGTACCTTTCAAATCAAGTCTTGCATATTCACTTTCTTATTATTATGTTATATTATGCATTATGATTTTTCTCCTAAACACTGTTCGATTTCCTAACCTGAATCCCACCCACTACCCCAGATGAGCTGCCAGAGGTTAACCCTAACCCTGTCCTGTATTTAGGAGAAAGGCGAAATGGTCTCTTATAGGGAAAATAAATGTGCATAGGTTTTCTCATGTGTCAGTTTGACTATTTTCTTTTTTTCCTGACTGATAATAAAAATAAAAGTTAACTTCTCATACTGGTTAGGATTAGTGTTGGGACTAGGGTTAGAACTGACCACAGAGTAACCCTCTTAATGTATATTAAAGCAATTTGAATGTAATGAGGGAATAGATTTCATGGATAATAATGGAAAATAACCCAGAAAAAACAATATACATCTGAGTTTTATCACCTAACCCACTTGAAATGACTGTTATGTATGCTGGAGATTAAAAAAGACAAACTCTATCTAAACTTTTATGGTTCTTATTTAATAATCTTTTTTGTTACATATAATGTCATTCCTGTAACTGTATGTATTGCATATTTTTTGTGCAATGGTCTGCAACTATTTCCCTGCACGGTTTGATCTCTGTCCACAGAGCCAACTAAAATAATAACACCAGAAATATCAGGAGGTCTAAACTCTTCTTCCCCAAAGCGGATTCTGGATCTCAGTAATGGAAATGACAACAGCAACAATTGAAAAACAAAAGTTAGACAGTATGAGCAACACATAAAACTACATGGATAATGATTTAATAACAGAAAACTTTAATGGATGCCTTCGTAACAGGAAAAATGCCAATTTGAATCTTACATAGCCGATCAGATTTTTTTAAACTTGCAATTAGTTCATAAAACATAAGGAAAGCATCCCTTAAAGCTTTCATAATAATAAACATAATAATAAACATAATAATAATGATAATAATAATAACAATAATAATAATGAGAAAGGGGCCGTGTACCTGGGGCAGCAGGTGTGTCTCCCTGTGGGCTTGTCACGGGTGACCTGTTATAGCCAAAGGAAGTGAAAAGTGGAAGCAGTGGCTGATGGGAATGTGGTGGAGGAGGAGGCGGTGGAGGCAGGATATGGATCTGATGGAACGTGGTGTCGTTGCCGTTGACTACTGCGTTGGCAGGGGCAACCGTCGCCGGGGCAACCAGCGGTATCTTTTGAAACTGTTGAGTGCAAATGACTGTGCTGGCCAAACCTAGATAACACCCACCGTGACGACACACGGAAAACACACACACAACCAGCCAACAGTGAGCCACCACCACGTGACAAACAAACGACAAGACAGAGAATTACATGTAAGAAAAAAGGGAAGAAAAAAAAGGAAAATTAAAAACAAGGACTGAAGTTAGAACTCAAACCAAGAGGAAGAGGGGAATGAAGGACAAAGCTGATGTAGTAGATGCAGTGAATGACAAACAGCTGTGAGCATCAGTGGAATGAAATGAACGGAGCGCTGCCGTGAAAGTGGAAATGGGCTGAGGGGCTGATAATAAACTTGCACTTGAATCAAGCAGTGGTACTGTGCAAAACAGCAAATATGTTCTGTTGCATGTTATTAGCTACAAGTGTTACTTCTACGTAACCTGTAGGTCTTTCACTCACATGTGCCAGTTTTAGTAAATGTTGGAGGTAGAGACCTGCCTCAGCACAGAGGAGCAAATGAATATAAATATCTTGTTTGTATCAACCATTGTGGAGAGGCTGTGTAGCATCTTACGACAGCAGCTGCATACTTTTGTTGGAATAGCATTTTATTTTTCATGTTAACATAATAACAACTTTTAGAATATGGAAAGAAGACGTTCTGAACCAGAGATAGCACTTCAGTAACGAAGCTAGCTGAACACATGCTAACCTGATGCGCTGTTAGGACTGTCTCTCTCTAGTGTGCGAGCTAACAACATAATTGGCCATTCAATATATTTTATTCCTTACAGGTGCATACTTAAAATGTATTTCACTTTTGTTGTATTAGTATTTTGTGTATTATTTTCACTTTAAATTTGCTACTTTGTTGCAAGTCATTAGCCAGTTGTAACCAAACAATAAAATGTAGCATTGATGACTCCTAGCTTTAGTACCGGCTGGATAAGTAGCCACCCTTTGCTTTGTTGACAGCGCTGCAAACCCTTGGCCTTCTGTCACTGACCTTCATGGTGTAGTCACCTGAAATGGTTTTCACTTCACAGGTGTGCCTTGTCAGAGTTTATTTGTGGAGTTTCTTGCCTTCTTAATGAGGCTGGGACAATCAGTTGTGTTGCACAGAGGTCAGGTTGGTACAGAGCTGACAGCCCTATTTGACAACTGTTAGAATTCATATTATGGCAAGAACCAATCAGCTAAGTAAAGAGAAACGACAGTCCATCATTACTTTAAGAACTGAAGGTCAGTCAGTCCATAACATTGCTCAAACTTTGAACGTGTCCCCAAGTGCAGCAGCAAAAACCATCAAGCGCTACAATGAAACTGGTTCACATGAGGACATGAAAGGAAGTCCAAGAGTCCCTCTGCTGCTGAGGATAAACTCATCCAAGCCACCAGCCACAGAAATCGCAAGTTAACAGCGCCTCAGATTAGAGCCCAGATGAATGCCACACAGAGCTCCAGTAGCAGACACATCTCTACATGTTCAGAGGAGACTGTGTGAATCAGACCTTTATGGTCAAATAGCTGCTAAGAAACCACGACTAAGGAAAAGCAACAAGAAGAGATTTGTTTGGGCACAAGAAACACAAGGAATGGACATTAGACCATCTGTGCTTTGGTCTGATGAGTCCAAATTAGAGATCCTTGGTTCCACCTGCTGTGTCTTTGTGCGATGCAGAAAAGCTGAATGGAGGTGTGGTGTACCATTGCATCCGGGTTGCGTTTAGTTGGACCATCGTTTATTTTTCAACAGGACAATGACCCCAAACACACCTCCCGGTTGTGTAAGTGCTGTTTAACCAAAAAGGAGAGTAATGGAGTGCTAGCCAGATGCCCTGGCCTCCATAGTCACCTGACCTAAAACCAGTGGAGATGGTTTGGAATGAGATGGACCTCAGAGTGAAGGCAAAAGAGCCAACAAGTGCTCAGCATCTCTGGGAACTCCTTCAAGAATGTTGCAAAACCATTTCAGGTCACGACTTCGTGAAGCTCATTGAGAGAAGGCCAAGAGTGTGCAAAGCAGTAATCAAAGTAATCAAAGAGTGGCTACTTTGAAGAATCTAAAATATAAAGCACCTTTTGAGTTATTTTACACTTTTGTGTTTAATTCCAAATGTGTTCATTGGTAGTTTTGATGCCTTCCACATTTTACTGAAGTCTATAATTCTATATAATGTATTGCTAGTAGTAGCAGCAGCACAACACTAGCACAACAACGCTGACTTAACAAACCTGCAAACATTTATAGCTAATATATCTATAATATTTATAACTAGATAATTGCCTAGACATTCTTTCACAAGCTAGCTGCTAAAGTTTGTTCTGTTTTTGTGATTGGTCACTCTACACTGAAACTAAACGTTTAAATGCACGAGCGTTATTACAACATTTAGGACAAATTATGAACGGTTGTCTCTGAAAGGTTTTGCTGCTGCTTCCCTGTTAGCGGGAATAAAAGAGCAGATGAGAGCAATATAACATGGAGAGGGGACTGACTGAGAGAAAAGAATAATTAAAAATTGATGAAAAACAGCTGAGTAAATGAAACTTCCTGTTAGAACAGCTGCTGCTGATGCTGCACAGTGTGTATCTGTGTATGCGCGGATGAGCGGTAGCAGTGATTAGTCAGTCTGGCTCTGCAAGCCAAGTGGGAGCACTCCAGCTGTTTCTGCACTGCATACAGCTGCCGTATACAGTATAAGGCGGCGTACACCTGCTGCATGATTTAGTGTATGAAAGGATGGGTGATGCCACAATAGTGCCGAGGTGGTAATGCAGTGTGCAAAGGTAATCAGAGGAGGACGTGATGAGCATGAACAGACAACAGGTAACGGCTGTCAGTGGTGAGCAACAATTAGAGAGACACTCATACAGACTAAGACAAGAAGACATATACTGGTAAACAGAACTACCAGACCTATAGGGACCAACACGACAAACAATTAAAAACATCTGAGCCTCTCTGTGGCTGCTCAGTCACACCGAGATGACAGGATGGGTCTGAATATGTTGTGTACGTTTCATCCAGGTGAATAAAAGCTGATTAAGATGGAGGGGCGCACCAAGCAATGAAAGTTTACATGCTAAACAAATAAATGTTTGATACTTTGGGGGAATGTCTATTCATGCAGAGGGTTAGAAGACAACAGCCAGTAGTTTCATCTTAAACCCTGAAAAAAGGTTTAAACTAAAACATGTTTATACTTTTTTATAAAATCAGATCTAACGAGCTAAATGTTAAGCTTTAAAGGTGCTATTAGGGAGATTTTCTTACCTCTGATCAAAGCCAGGCTAGCTGTTTTCAGTCTTGCTAAAGTTAAGCTAATCGGCATACAAATACGACATGTTGTCAGTTTCCTCACCTAATGCTACTTTTATAGCATTTGGTGAGAAACAACAGGGTAACTACTTATATAAAATACATAAGCACACATTTCTGAGCTCCATTAAGCCACTTGTGCTAAGCTAAGCTAAGCTATCTGCATGCTAGGAGCAGCAGCTTAATATTATCGTTTCCCATGTAAAGGCAGACATTTTTATGTCAAATTAGTCCTTTCATGTACGCAACTAAAAGTACATAAATGTTTAGCTTTGGTTTTATTTATATTTTCCTGTCAACATTAAGAGGTGAGGGTAAGCTGCAACCACAGACATGTAAAACATGGACGTAGCTTTTGGGCTGGAAAGATTCGGTGCAAACACTTTTCACTCATTTCAGGCCACACTGAATAAAAAAAGTCTATTTTCTAAATGTTAGTCATACTGTGTTTAAAAATAGAGGATTATCTGCGTTAAGCTCATTGGCAAACATCATGTGATCGACAATTCGTTAACCAATGAGCAACCGGTTTCACTGCCAGTGTGTGACATCATGGTGACTTCATCCGTCTTTTACACTGTCTGTGGTGGCATAAGAAAGATGTTGATAATTGTGGGATATATAACCTTGTGTCGACCACCTGAATGTTTTTTGTTATGATTTTTTCCCCAGGTTGATGCTGTACTATCAAAAATTCCACCAGGCTTGGACCTTAACTTGAGCAATGCGGAGATGACAGGTGGCTGTATGGTAGCACTTTGATGCTGGCTGACTCACAGACAGCTCCTCTCCCAGTGTATGAGATGAAAGCGATGAAAGTCTCTGATGTGACTTCTATTTTAACTCGCTCTATTCAAAAAAAGCTGGCTGAGGGTTTTTATAGAATTTACCTTTAATGTACGGGTTTTACAGATGTTTGCCTCCGAGTATCTCCTGCGTTCGCTCCGAGTGTGCACACGTGCCTGACTCATGTGCAGAAGCTTTTTAGCAGCCAGCTTCATCAAAATTTCAAAAGCAGCTCCAACACAACCTTACATGCGCGCACATATACGCGCAAACTCACCTGTGCGTTTGCTGATGACCTCCACCATAGTGGATGGAAAGTAGCCCACGCGGTCATTTCCTGTCCGGTTGTCATGGATACAGCCTTTCCAGCGTCCGTCGGGGTGCTGCTCCAAAACCTGCGAGGCGAGCACATCCACTACATTAAATGTGGACAATACATAAATTAATAAATGATTAATACCACAGAATTTAATTTAAAGCTTTCCAACGTGATTACTTTATAATTTTATTCTTTTAAAAAACACAAAGCTGCACATTTGGTGCTGAATCCCCAAAGTCAACTTGTTCATTCAGACCCTGAGGAAAAAAGCGTTGGCACTACTTGGCTTCCTCACTACTGTAATAAGTCCCCAAAGGCTTCAAACATGCTCATAAATATTCATCACTGCGATGAAGGGAGTGAAAACATGCTTCTGTAAAACACGCTCACGGCAAATAAAGGATGCTGAAACCATCGTCCTTGCATTTCTGATTCCAGTAAACTGCAACGATGGAAAAATGTTCTATCAGTGGATTGGAGGTAGGACTCTGAGTCTGCAGGGATTACGCAGTGTCACCATTTCTTTCAAATGTTTGGTAAATCATTTCATACAAAATGGCACTTTTTTTTTTCTGGCAGTGAAAAAACAAATATTCACATATGACACACTTCTTTTAATATTTTCAAGGTTTTTTTTCTTCGTTTGAAACCTGAACGATGAAATCACTGCCAGAAATATGACATTTTTTGTGTGTTTGTTGACCCTTTATATCATTTATTATCAAATTTTAATCTGCATATATGAGTTGTCATTTCTATCACATTTGATACATGAGCCATATTTTTGCAATTTAGTCTTGAAAAATTTGTCATGCAATTTATATCATTTTTTGAGGGTAAAAAAAAAGTCATGCTGATGATGTAGACGTCTCAAAAACTCACAAAAACACATGTAACCTATACCATACGCTTGGCTTTCAAGGGTTAACTAAAATTAACAATATTGTAACTGCCCCTGAAGCTACTCTAAGAGGCCGGTGAAGAATTTATATTTTTTAAAGAACAATATTCGTGCACTTTTCAAGCTTCAGTGGAGAGGTATCCACCTATTTGAACTTCCAGAATTAATAGCTTATACAAAACAGTTATGAATGATCAGCAGCTCGTTTCAATCATATTATTATGGAAGACAAAGTTTTGCCTCACAAATTTACAGCTTTTTGAAAAATTCATGAGCCTCCAATGAACACAATACACCATCACACTAAATCCTCTTGCTTCTGACAGGAACAGCTGCTTTACCGTGATGACATCTCCTGCTTTGATGTTGAGGCTGGTCAGGTCATAGTTGTTGCAGTAATCCTTCAGAGCTCGAACCTGAAGGGCTGCAGACGCATCTGAGCGGCAAAGAAAGTAAATTATCATTGTGAAGTTGCTACACAATAATGATGAACTGTGCAGAACAATCCTATTGATGTAAAAATGTGTCAATAAAGAACTTTACATTCTCAACATGACATCATTATTAATTTATCACAGTATAGTTTTACCTTTAAAAAGCACGACCAAAAGAAACTTGATAGAAAAGTAAACTGTAAATACATATATAATAATTGAATATATGAATACAGTTTCTAAAAGTATACATTTGTAAACATATTAATTCTATAATTATAATAACGGGTAAACTGGCTGCTTGTTTGAGATGGATGCAGTCTGTACTGCTAGCAGCTGGTTAGCTTAGCACAGGGGTGGGCAACTCCAGGCCTCGGGGGCCGGTGTCCCTGCAGGTTTTAGATGTCCTTGAACAGCTGATTTAAATGGCTAAATTAGCTCCTCAACATGTCCTGAAGTTCTCCAGAGGCCTGGTAACGAACTAATCATGTGATTCAGGTGTGTTGACCCAGGGTGAGATCTAAAACCTGCAGGACACCGGCCCTCGGGGCCTGGAGTTGCCCACCCCTGGCTTAGCACAATCATTTTGTTGATTAAACTATGTTTGTCCATTGTGCTTTTCATTCGACCATCTATTCCTCTCTTTTGTTACAGATACAAACATCCATCCTACCCCTCAGCAGTTGTTTGATCTCTTTGCTGGCTTGTGTTGCAGTGAACTGGTAGACGATGTCCAGCGCAGTCTGGCTGTACGTGTTTCTCACCGTGGCATTGATACCACTCTGCAGAAGAGGGGACAATTTACAATTCTGGTTATTACATTAACAGCCCTGTAACAGCCGTCTGCATACAGCAAAAAGATCCCACGAAACACACTCTATCCAGCTACTTAGACTCAGAAATGAGAACATCTAGATGCTGATTAAACGCCGTAGGGATGCGATGATTTACCATAATTGACGTCAGGATAACATAACCCTAACTCCCTGGGCCTCTTCTGCTAATTACACCCGCATCTTACTTTTCTGCCGAGGCAGCTGAGAGCCGGAGAGCAATATCACGTTTAAATCTGTTGACACAAATGTAGGCCGAGGGAACAAAGATGAATTCAGTCCAAAGACGCTTCAGGGTGAAGGCTGGTAACCTTTTCGCAGCTCGGGAGCTAAATGACACGGTTAGTTTATTGTGCCGAAACACACACAGTCACTTAAGCATGAAACCTCGTGGCGTGTTCAAATCAACCATGCAGGCGGTCGTTTCGTTATTTGCCCTGCTGGCATAATTTTGAGCATAATTATTTCTGATTTTTATTTAGCTGAATATAGGACACACTCAGCATTCATGTCAGTATTTAGTAAAATTATGTTAAATGTTTACTAATAAATATCTGTTTTCCAAAACAAATCAGAAACATCAGTTTGAATAGCTTTATGTAGCATTATTATCACTTTGACCTTCAGCTTAATCTATTGACCATGGAGGAAAGGTCAGAGGTCAAAGGTGACATGATTGCAAATCTTTAGGTGAGCTGGATTCCAGATTAGTTATGTGCAGTAGTGCAATCCTGCTGCTACCTACTGCACCTCTGCATGTGCACTGAGACACAAACCCAACTCTTTGCAGCTGTAGTTCCACTCACCTCCAGCAGGAGTCTCACTGCTTCAGTCTTTCCACAGAGGGCAGCTTCATGCAGGGCAGTGCCTGCTTTGGTCTGCCTGTTTATGTCGATGCCAGCCTGGATCAGCAGCCTGCCGGGAGAGGCACCAGGCGGAACAGAGAGCGAGAGAGGATGAAACAGGCAAGTTCAAAAGTATAATAAAAGACGACGAGGAAAAGTGACGTGAGAAAGATCATTTCAAAAGAGAGAGGTGAGAAAATCAGGAGAGGTGTTAAAACACCGATGTAAGCATCGGACTCCAAGGTGGGAGCATGTGCACAAAGGAACATTAAAAAATAGAAAAATATACTTTTAATCAAAATGTTTACATAAGGAGCCAAATATAATTCTATTTACGCTAGAGTTATTTTGCTGAATCACACTTTAAGCAGGAGACGTTCAGGTCGTTCTGTTTGATACACTGGTTACTTTTTACATACAACATATAAAATATGAAGATGGTTGAATATCAGAGAGCTCTGATAGTCTTGAGGAATCCGCTGTGCGCTGCACGGTGTGCTATCTCGGTCTATGGGAGCCAGACCTGAGCTGACCTTGCTCAGGTCTGGCTTCCTATTTCATGATGTCATTCATCGAGCTTCCTGATTTGCAACAGTAACTCTAAAGACTAATTTTGTTTTATGGATGGCATCTTTTTTACAGTGGTGGAAACAAGCGTCCACCCTCTGATGTCTTTATTAATTATAATGGTGACTGCAGCAGCAGACGGCTGCCCCTCCCTGAGCCTGGTTCTACTGTGGGATTCTTCCTGTGGTGGGAGTTTTTCATCCCCACCATCGCCAAGTGCTTCCTCACAGGGAAACTGAACTTAAGTAGCAAAGACTGAGGATCACTCAGATCTGTTTGGCCACATAGCACACATAGCTACCAAACATCAGCATGGTAAGTGTGATGATATCAGGACACTGATGTTAGCTTCTAGCTTAGCCGCAGGTAATTGAAAAATCTGTGTGTCCATCAGGCCACACAGGCTGTACTTGTTTGTAGCATCAGTCACTGATAATGTTGGTCTTTTTAATTGGATTTGTTGACAGTGAGTACAGAAAATCAGCAGTTTGACCCATAAAATGACAGGATCAGAGAAAAGTTCATTAAAAAATAAATAAATAAACGACAGAAAGAAAATGAAAAAGCTGCCAAAAGCGCGTTTAATTTTCCTCTTACTGTGAGTAAGTGTGCGTGTTGTCTTCCACATGGCTGGCCATGACTAATGAGCATCATTTATCAGTGTCACTTCAGCCACACCGTGCTCCATCAACTATGACCATCTTTATTCTCTGGCTCTGTTTTGAGCTCCTTTTCTCTCCATCTCGTCTTTTACTTCCTCTCTCTCCTGTCCTCCTGCTCTCTCCTATCTTCCCTCAGTTGCAGGTCTCTGTCTCATTTCTCATCTTTCACCACCTGCCTTTGTGTGTCCCCGCCAGGCAAGCCGGTGTCTGCACCGACACATACACAGCAGCTCTGAGTTACTTCAAAAGTATTTGAGAGCGAACGGAGAAACTAATGGACTCTGCCGTATGTGCGTTTACCCGCCGTGGCGCATCATTCAGCGGCGATCTTTTCAGGCTCTGTGCTAAACGCTGCCATCACCAAGGCAACGGGAGTCTTTTTGCCGCGATGCACGCTTGCAAAAAAATAAATGAATAAAACACAGATCCATGCTGAGATGAGCTTATAATGACTGAATATTTAGCATGATAAAGTGCAGTGTGGATTTGGAGTGCCATCAGCTGTCTCCAGATCTCTACAGTGTATTTAGGACTGATGCATCAGCAGTGACTCTCTGCCATTTGCTCCATTATTCTTTGCCTGTGTTGGATTATACGGTTCCCCTGCTGTGTTACACATCTGTTTGATCAGCAGTCTGAGGGGGACATTTAAAGCCAGTTTATCATTAGATGTGTGTGTGTGTGTGTGTGTGTGTGTGTGTGTGTGTGTGTGTGTGTGTGTGTGTGTGTGTGTGTGTGTGTGTACCTGATGATGTCTATGTGTCCATTCTTAGCAGCTAGATGCAGCGGAGACGTCCCATTAGGGTCGGTCGTGTCTCCTTTTTTGGGCTCCAGCAAAGCAGCGCACATGTTACTAGACAGCAACAACTGGACCACCTTACACACACATAAACAAAGAGAAGATAAGCAACTCATTGTTGCAATCTTGTTGACGAATACTGATTGAAACCGTAGGTTCTTACCCCAACTCTGCCGAACTCACAGGCCAGGTCCAGAGGGGTTTTCCCTGCGTTATCCACGATGCACGGGTTGGACTGGTGCTGCAGCAGCATCTCAGACTGGAGACGGGGCACACAGACACATGAGACAAAAATCCATACGCTCAAAGGGCAAAGAAAAGGGCACGAGTATCACAAGGATCACAATGTGAGAAAACAGCCTCTCACAAAACAGAGATGAAGACGTAGAATCAGAGCGCTTTTCAATACTGAGCTGTTTCCCTTATGACACAGACTTTTGTAGGCTTTTCTTTTTTTAAATAAACAATTTTAATACTGAGGGGGAAACTCCCACTAGGTTTATATCTGGGACTCTCCACCATTTGACCTTAGAACTGAAGAAGCTTCTCGGATGAGAGGTGAAACGTCTTCAAGCAACTTAAAGAAGTCCAGACGCTTTTCTTTCCAAGCTCCTTTGACTTTAATACTGAGGGTTTTTTCAGAAGTTACATTTTAACAGGCTTCTGACAAACACCATTTCCCATGATCCTCTACAAAGCAAAACTCTTAATTTGAAAAGCTCTGAAGGTAGCATTGAGCGTTTACTCGATCCACGCCACAGGAAGAAAAGAGTAAGGAGTGTAAAGGTGCGTTCGCCAGCTTGGTAACTAGATCGTTTGCAAAGCAAATTAAAGGAAGGATCAGTGTCTCAGCAAGGAGCCGCCCGAACAGCTTCAACCTGCTTCAGCACATATTGTCCAAGATTTTGTAAATGATCTGCAGGGATGAATACCATACTTCCCCGTTTGGTGTTGTGATGATGGCGAAGTCTTACCAGCGATTGCAAATAAAGTTTGTGGCGCACTCAGTCGGGTTGAGACCTGCTCTGCAGGACAAACTCTATGACAACAGAAAGTTGTTTCCAGCACAGGGCTCGAGAGTGCGACCACATTTCTCAATGGTGCGACTAAAAGAAATCCCAGGTCGCACCGGTGCGACCAGCTGTTCAAGTAAAAAAAGGTCTCTGCAACTCTGAAAGTCTGTGTGGTCAACAACAGACACACATCAGGCCCATATCGTGCTCTAAACCAATCAGAGATCAGATGCCCAATGTAAGATGCTCAGATATTAAGATGTTCACTTTGAGGCACTTTTAATTTTGACTTTCATTTTTGGAAATGTTTCATCACATTTGATCTCTGATGTGAAATGACCCGTCCATGTGAGGAGCCAAGTGGGCACAAACCGTGCCAGCCCACGTCCCCTGCAGCACAACAGCACTACTGTCAGCTTTTCCATTTAATTTGTAATACAGTAAATAACTCATCCATTACGTAACGCCCTCGGGATTTCATAATGGAACACAAACATAAAACAGCATCGATGGAAGGCACAGCACAATCCCAGAATGTGACGCCTCACATGTTAGAGACTCCATTCTACATTATGCTGCATAAAAATACTATAAAAATGTTTTGCTCTCTCGTTAGACTGGATCAAGTGTGCAGAACAATAAGATGTGCAAAGGTTTCAACACACTGAAGGCTGCATGGGTCTGTTAAAGGGACGGCCTTCTGACATTCAGACACAGGTCAGTTTGACTTCGTAGGCTATAAATGTTTACAGCTGACGATGTTTGTTAAGAAAAAAGAAGAATTCAGTAAATGCTGAGAGCGAGGCTGCACCACAGCAAGCAGTTCATTATGTTTTCCTTTCTTTGCAGCTTAAAATGAACAAATGAGAACGATACTGTGGGCTGAAGCCTCTAGTGTCTGTGTTTTTAAATGTCTCCTGAATCCTTTCAGTTTGCTTTGTTGGATTATAAATGATTCATTTTTCATCTGTAGTCAGTTTCTGTAACTTTTTCTATTTGATCTTCCACATGGAGAGCGGCTGCAGAGTAAAGCTTCAGTCCAGTTTGTTACCCTCTATAATCACAGATATTTAATCAAGTAGCAGCAGCGCGTCTCCAGCTGTGGAAACGCACATCTCTTCTTTTCTCTACTGCATGTTACCTGCTGCAGTTGATCTGCTATATTTGACTGTTGTTTCTCTGCTAAGCCTGCTTAAGTACAGATTTAGTAGTTTGTTTACATTTACTGCTAATTGTGCCGATATATAAAAGCATGTGTGACTCCAGCCCATTTAAAGCAGTAGACATGCTCCTCGAAACAACTGCCCTTTATTTCACCTCTGTGACTTTTCTCTCCTCTGTTCTTCGCTCAGTTAGTTTGTGCAGACAGATGTCTTTGGTGCTGAGCATGGCCACATCCTGCTGGCCATGCTCAGCTGACTAGTGCAGAATAACTAATGGCCACAATATGTTACGCTAAAGCAAATAATATTGAGATTAGCATCTTCCTCCTGTGCTGCTCTCGTGCAGTGTTTGCTTCTTTGGTAAAACTACATGATACTCACCACATCATAGTGGCCGTGCTGTGCTGACAAGTGGAGAGGAATTTGTCCTTCGTCTGATTGGCCGTTGACAGACGAACCCGATTTCAGCAGCATCTTCATGGGCTCTGCCTTCCCCTGCCAGGCTGCGTAGTGCAGCGGCCGCATACCTGCAGACCCACAGCGCGTAAACACAGGACGTGTCCATCGCACGCTCAGCTGCAGTACATCATCATGTGTTTCTTTACCTTTCTGGTCTCTGATGTCGACAGCAGCCTGTGACTCCAGCAGCAGAGAGATGAGCTCCAGGTTCCCATTAAGGGCAGCATGATGCAGCGGAGAAAACCTGTAGCACACACACACACACAGGTCACTGATAAACGGCGAGGCTTGGCGTGACAAATAGATTTAATAGCAGCTGATTAGGCTACAGCTGTATCTGCTGCAGAGCTACAAACTCCAGCGCAGCAGCAGAGATGAGATGGTGGGATACAGTCACAGGAGGAGAAGTATTTCATCAAGGAAAGGACGCGGTGACTGTGCACAAGGATAAAAAGCAAGCAGATGAGACCGATACGTCAGCCTTGATGTATCAGCCTAAGAGAGCGTCTGAGGAGGAGACGACAGGCAAACGTAAATGAAAGCAGGGATAAAACAGCCTGTTTCTGAGCCTTCCTAACATGCACACCTTCTATCTGACTCCGATCTGCTGTGACATGTGTGTCCTCGCTCCTCTGCCTGATTTGCTCCTGGCTGTCAAACACTGTCACAGTCGAGCTCGAGGAGCGTCTGCAGTTACCGTGACAGCGAACGTGTCTCCTGTTAAAATGCAGCCACATGAAATTTCAAACACACACACAAATATAATAAATAATATTTAACTTTTATTGGATGGAAACAGTCCAACTTTTATTAGACTGGAGAAAAAAAGATCCAAAGAAAAGTGAGCTGAACGGAGCCGTTCGTTAACCTGTGCTTAAGCATGTTTTACACCGCGGGTGTTAAACATGTCTGACACCACCGTGTTGGTGACCAGGAATCTGGCAGGAGTGACCGATCAGAGCATGCACACAGAAAGCTGAGAAATCTGCACATTATCTGATTGACTCATACGTATATAAATACATACAGTGTTGTGCACAAGACACAAGGAGCTATTTTGAATGCCTCCTTATTTTGTGCTTACTTCAAATGTTTAGTACATTTAGTAACCTTGATTTGTTAAATCATCAGTGGGCGGTGTTTTACCAGTGGCTGAGTTCACAGGTTTTCTGACGTGCGATGAACCACTTGCTATTTCCTCAAAAGACTGAACTGATTGCACTATAACTGGCAGCTGAAATCATACATGTTTTGGACACGGAGGGATTGTTTCTTCACATTCATCCGACAGCTTCAGCTAACTCGTGAAAGATTCAAAGTATTTTAAACAGGAATTTACGAGAAGCACCTGTGAAGAGGTTGTGATTCGAGTTTGATTGGTTCATGCTGAGGAGCATTTCTACTGCGGGACCCACCACACACACTCTGGCCTCCAGCTGGTTGTATTTTGGTTGTATTCCTATAGAACAGGAAGGTTTCTGAGTGCAAATGTAATAATTAAATGTGAATCTCTGTTAAATATGAACCATTTATCACAGTTATTTGCCCGTTTGACCCATTTAATCGTAGGCTGATTGCAGAATGACGCAACGTTTACAGCAACTTTTTTTTTCCATTTTTTAATTGAATTCGAGAGGTAATTTATAAACAGTTGGTCTGTGTGACCATTCACATTAACACAACATCATGTGATCCCAAAATTAATTTGAATGGTTTAATATTTGCCAATAATCCATCTGCACAGCAAAGCCACTCGTGTAGCTTCAATGTCAGCTTCTAGCACTTGCATAGCACTTTATTCAGCTGACGTGTAGCAACTTGTGCACGTCCACATCTCCCTTCAGTTGCAGCGTATGTGCACTTACATGTGAATAAAAAGGGCTGAGAGAGACTCCAATAACAATATAAAGCATTTCCAGATTCCAGAGTTTTACCTCCAGTTGGCGTTTCACTGACTGGTAATTATGTAACAGACTACATCCTCTCATTTGTTTTAAAGATGCTCTTTTTCTTTTAAAACGTGTCTGTTTTTTTCAGTTCAGGAGCAAAGTAAAAGCAGCATTCTCTGCCTGATAACACAAATCAATGGGTCCTCATGTTTTCAGCTCTCCCGGCTCTATGGGGTGTCCTTGACCTCAGTCTGGATAAATGATGCAATATATCACCATTAAAAAGGCCAAATAATAATACACACAAGGTGCACCTGTGAAATCATTAACAAAACAAAAAGAAAACAAAGGAACATTTTCTGTCTACAGTAGAGATGGACCGATCCGATATTAAGTATCGGTATCGGTCCGATACTGACCTAAATTACTGGATCGGATATCGGAGAAAAATAAAAAATGTAATCCGATCCATTAAATATCACGAAAGCACCTCACAAAACTTGCAACACGCCGTAACTCGCCTCAGAACGTTAGCACGTCGGAGCAGTATGCATCACGTGATAGAGCGGCTGTGGCATGCGGGACCTGTCGGTGGTCTGGATAGCATGTGGAGCTTCGCTAGCAACCCGGCATTTCATCTCCGACAAAGTTATCCCCGAGAGAAGTAAAGCAAGTGTGTAAGTCCATCTCTGAATGTTTGTAAAGCATTCCTGCGTTAAGCTTAACAAGCGACTGCCTCTTCTTGCTGCTACTTCAATCATGAAACTGCTTAATGATCAGCTGATCGGCTTTTCTGTCGCGAGTCCGTCTCTTGTTTGCTTTTGGCCCACTTTGCACCAGAAAGAGGAAACCAGCGGCTGAACAACAGCAGCACGTTTAAGCTTGATCAGCTGTTGTTAGAATGTATTTAATATTACTTTCTACACCAGGATCTTTTTCTACGTAGCTGACGTAACTGTGCAGGGGCGGATCTAGCAAAGTTTAGCCAGGGGGGCCGATAGGGCATGACCAGGGAAAAGGGGGCACAAAGACATACTTTTCTTTCTTATTCTCATTTAAAATGTCGAGCTTTTAATAAATAATTATCTGACACCCAAAGTTTTAATTTGATGTAAAATGAATAGAAGTCAATTACTGTATATAGTAACTATTAAGTCTAATATATATACCCTAGTAAGCTATAGTACTTTTTCCTTTGGGAAGGTACCATCTGTGCAGTCTGCAATTTTGTTGAAGAAAGATGTTGAATCTATTTAATATTTCTTGAAAAATAATTGATTTCTGTGCATTTTTTTTTCACACTGCATCAAATTAAGGTTGATTACGTCGATTAAGCATCATGAGGTGGAGCGTGAGGGGTGGTTCCCTATTTTTTATTTATTTATTTTTGTTGTTGCTGGGAGTTGGAACCCTATTAGTTAGGTTGCTTAATATTTACGCTAAGTACTCTTTAAAATACCAGAATAGGGAGGATGGTGTAGGTTTAAGTTTATTAGATTGATCAGTATTGCTGAACTATGAAATTTTTTTTTTTGCATACAGGTATAACAGAATAGCTTTAGTGTAGTTGTTGTTTTAAACTTGAGTATGAACTTATACAAAATGCAGCAAGATATTAAAAAAACAGTTTTGTTGATTAAAAAACACTATATCGGATTCATATCGGTATCGGCAGATATCCAAATTTATGATATCGGTATCGGACATAAAAAAGTGGTATCGTGCCATCTCTAGTCTACAGGTTTGTGCACACGTCTGTCACTCTTACATCTTCCTCCACAAGAACTCGTCTCGTAGTTGGAGATTTGTTTGTGGGTGTATCGCATTTAATGATGTCGCAGAAAGAAATCATAAATGTAAATGCAAATTATGAGGTTGAAGCTGGGGACTAAAGGAAAGCAGCACCACTGAAATAACACAAAAACCAAAGCGACGACAGTCGTCTGTAGACAGAACAAAGGACAGGAGACAGGAAACAAAACTGGAAATTCACATCTTTTTACAGACAAGCTTTCTGGATGTGGCCGTGTGAGGCGTGTGCATCGACAACGAGCTGTGTCATAATCCTCTGCATCTCCGCAGCGACTCGTCTTCTTCCATTCGTGTTTAACTGCAGGGTTAAAAAAGGATAGTCTTACATAATGCTGCAATAGGCTGAGCCGGAAAGAAATGTGTGTGTCTGTGTGTGTGTGGGTCTCAAGACTGTGTCAGTGGGGTGTATGTTTAGGGGGAGGGAAGCCCTTGGTTTTGGCAAGTACTCTAGTAAAACCTTCCATGAAATATTCATACGCTTCTCCTGTTATTCTTCCTCATTTAAACCAAACCCTCGTCTGTCTCACTCTCAGCAGCTGATACGACGTCTCTCTGCAGCCTCATCCTTCCTCTCCAGGGTGTTCCTCGCTGCCTCATCTCTTTGAACTCTTTTTCTCCACTGTTTCCATCTTTTGCTTGCAGTTCCTGAGCCCCAAAGTCCTCCAGCAACGACTGTGCAGCCAGTTATGCTACACTCTTCATACTATGGAGGCACCTGTCTGTCTTTGAGTAGTGATGGTGTGCTTATAGACATGAAAACAAAGGGAGATATTTGGAAATACCAAACACTTTCCAAACATTTCAATGTATTCTGCATTCTCTGATATGTTATCTTAGATTAGCACAAAGTCGTACTTCTCTCTCTTTTGAAAGGTTTTTGCGGTTTTGAGATCCTGATGCTCCATCTGTAAATGTGTAAAGACAAAGGTTGTCCAAAAAATCGATGTAACGTCACTGCAACGCTGAATAAAGTTCTGTGTGTGGTCTGGCTCCAAACATGCTTTCCAAATACAACACTGACATTTTGTAATGTGTTTGCAGCTCTGTATTTACCACACGGCTAAATCCTGCTGGAGTGCCCCTTTAAAACACTAGCAGCTAAAGACAAATACAACACAAGCCACAACCCGCTCTCAAAGACAACACTGCACGCTGTTCTTGAATCCATATCCTACATCCATGTCAGACACCAGGGAGGCTGCTTTAATATCTCGGGTTTTCACCTGCTGCCTGTTTATTTATTTTTCTCCTATGAGCCTCACGAACGCGTCTCTTTCCCTCCTTCTCTTCATTTTTATGCCTTTACTCCAAATCAGCTTTATAACTCCTCTGCCCTGTAAGCACACAGTCTGTTCATGCAGTTTTGCTGCGAGCCTTGTACCGGCCCTTTTCACCTGTCGCACCCACACACACACACACACACACACACACACACACACTGTAAAGCCACATGGCTTGACCCATTTTCAGTAATGAGACATTTCTTATGCCTGTCAAGCTTTCCCGAGAAGCACGCCGCTCCAACAATCACACACTGGACTGA